GGAGAGGGGAGGAGAGGGGAGAGGGAGGGACCAGTAGAAAGGATGGGAAGGGAAGAGGAGGAAGTAAGTATTTGAGTAGTTGAGACTTGAGAGAGAGAGAGAGAGAGAGAGAGAGAGAGAGAGAGAGAGAGGAGGGCGGGAGTGAAAGAGAGAGCGGGAGGTATGTGGGAATGAAAAAAAAAACAGAGAGAGGGTGAGAGAGAAAAAAATAAAGAGGGTAATAAATAGATAGGCAGACAGGTAGATATATTGACTGAGAGTGAGAGAGAGAGAGAGCAGGAGGGAGAGAGAGAGACAGAGAGAGAGGGAGAGAGACAGAGAGAGAGGGAGAGAGACAGAGAGAGAGGGAGAGAGACAGAGAGAGAGGGGGGGGGAGAGAGAGAGAGAGAGAGAGAGAGAGAGAGAGGGGAGAGAGAGAGAGAGAGGGAGAGAGAGGAGTGAAGGATAGTGAAAGAAAGAGAGGGAAAAAATGAAGAACGAAAGAGGAGACAGCATGAGAGAAGACTCGAAGTTTAATATATTAGAGAAAGAATCCTCCGTCCTTCCCCAATTATCAGTACAGCCGTTCCCTTCCCTCGCAGGTCGTTCCCCCGCCGTGTCAAGCACCTCCACCGCCGCCCCTGCTTACATGCACGACAGCCCCGGCACGCCCACCAAGGCTGTCACCACCTCCACGAACATCACCAAACTCGAAAAGCTAATGGTGCGCATCGGGGTCTTCTCCGTGCTGTACACTGTGCCCGCCGTGTGTGTGATCGCGTGCAATGTGTATGAGTACCTGAGCCGAGACCAGTGGCGGAAAATGGCTTCCGTGGCCGCGCTGAAGTGCAGTGGTGGCAGCGGTGGGACGGCAAAGCTGCACAGAGGAAGTGGGAATCTCTCCTACCGGCAGTATCACAATCCAGGCAATACTGCCGCTTCAGGTACTTTGATTACTTTCTGTCGTTGTAACATTTTGTGCTTTTGGTTCAGATTCAGCACTTTTGTTACAGAAGTGCATCACGCTTCATCATTTTTTACTGCAAAGCCAGTGGAATAAATCTGTTTCAGTCTAAACTTTCATTTCAACTTGCACTCCAGAGATTAATCATAACAACCTCCAAAAATAACATCAATGTATTTGAGATTATTGGCAACACCAGCTTCTCAAGTGCACCTTCTCACAGAATGACAATATTTCTACCTCTTCCCCATTCTTTTACCAATAAGCCTCACCTTTCATCACTAATATCTCAAATGATTTTCGTGAAATTCCACTCACAAACCTCCACCTTCCCCCAGAGTGCACGTTGGAGCAGAGCATTCCGTCTGTTGAGATTTTCATGCTCAAGATCTTCATGTCGCTCGTCGTCGGCATCACGTCTGGCATGTGGATTTGGTCTTCGAAGACTGTAAGGGACTCGAATGCATTTCGTTTTAGTTGTGAGAAGGGCAGACTGTTATTTTTATTTAATATTTTTTACTTTGCGTCTAATGATTGATTTTGAAAAGTTTGTGAGACCAAGATTTGTGTTGTGACAATTTTTTTTGTTTTTTTGTTTTTGCTAATCTTAATTGAATACTGGTGCTTAGTTTTTACATATTTTTAGCCAGTAACGGTTTTTATTTACGTATATTAGGGCATCTTCAGTTAATTTCAGATTGTATAACATGAAACATAATTTTCAGATGACTCATAGGGAACCTTGATTTTTTGTTTATCAATCTGTAATATCTCTGTGATAAAGATGATGACTTCATATTGGTGCTAAGATCATTTTTTATTAACATCAAAACAAAAACTGTAATTGTATTGCCCACCATATAAGTCGCACTATTTATTGCAAAACCTAATGTTCAAAATCCACTGCTACTTATGCCCGGGGATGACTATTTGCTGATTTGGGGAATTCGTTTAATTTTTCATTTAAATTTGATTTTAATTCTTCTATTGTTTTTTCTCAATATTAGGGTATTTCAAAATGTATTAATGTAAGAAGTAATTGCCAATATTTCACGGCAATGTTTTGCGATCAATTCATTCGAACGCGTTTATACTGCATCCCGGATGGCAAGCTAACCTTTTCACTTAAGTAATATCTAAAGTATTATCTATCTGTCACTGGATGATTAAGATAAAATGTATATACATAGAAGTAATAATCTCTGGAAGGTGACTTTATATTATGGGATAATACTCTATCGATCACCATCTTCGGTGAGATTCTAGTCACGAATATGGTATTTATGAGTTTAAGGATCGCTGTACCATCCCGTCACTCGATCCCGCAGGTGTTGCTGTGGCAGAAGTTCTTCCGGGGGCTGTGCGGGCAGCGGCAGGACCTGCGCAAGAAGGACGGCCACGTGTACCACCCGCCCAGCCACACGCCCGCCATCGTCAAGACCACGAACGGGCGGCCGCAGATGGAGCAGCTGCACCACCTGCGGCCCCCCCAGTCCCAGCCCCAAGGGTCGTCGTCCTCGGCGCGAAACCCCCAGCACCTGCACCCCCTCCACCTGGGCGGCCGGGCGCATGGCTCCTCCACGATGCACCTGTCGCAGGTGTGAGGGCGTCGGGGCACAGGATCGGGGAGGGGGGGGGGGTCTTGTGTTGGTGTTGTTGTAATTAATTGTAAAGTTTGTTTGGAGAGTTCAATCAGTGTCATTGTTTTCCACACTCTCTATCTATCTATTTCTATATCTCTATCTCTACCTCTATCTCCATCTCTATCTCCCCTCTCTCTCTCTGCCTCCTTCCTTCCCTTCCCTTCCCTCCCTGCCTCTCCTCCACATATCTTTTGTTATTCTTTGATTTTAATGATCTCACACACTGTTTAATCAATATGGACTCTTCGTGTGTTTCATGCATTACAGGGCGCCTTGTATATTTATCTTGTCCAAAGCTTCATGTGTGATACCGGGACATTTAAACTCTTAGAATGACATATGGAAGAACCAAAAGGCTGCATAATAAATAAGTCAGTATTAAGTCAATATTTACAGTATTGGATTCTTTATAAATGCTTCAAGGATGGTGAAGAAAAGCAAGTGTGTAAAGGATCATCTTAGATACGAATGTTACCAATCACTTATACTTTGTTTTTATATGTATATATTTCTCAATGCAAACAGCTGCACCAGCAGTATTAAGCTTTACAGTCTTTACAATGAAAAGTGGAATAGTATTTTTTGTATTTGTTCATTCTACTTGTAAAACTTAATGTTTTTTTCTCATTCTATCACAGAGAACAATGAATGTAATCACAGACTAATGTATGATTATGAAATGTGATTTATTTTATTGTCTGTTATAATTGTGTTGTTCATAAAGTTTCATATGTTGTGTTAATAGTTACCTTTTTCACTCATTACATTATATTCATCATTCATTCTTATCATTAATGTAGATTAAAATTGTTAAACGTCATTATATTGATTCATTTATCATTCTGAAGTTAAAAGACTGAGAATGTATCAAAATCAGTCTATTTTTGGGCATTTTGTAAAAACAAATGGACTGATAGTGATGAGCAAATGTAGTCAAAGGCCCACAATATTAAGGTTGTAAAAGGTCGTATCACAGATATGAGGTGATCTTCTAGGATTCACAATGTGGTTGCATGTACCAAATAGTGTATCAAATGTTCCTTTGAAATTAATCCAACATGCAATACGGATTAGGGAAATTATCCTTTATAAAGAGCACAATATTTTGTTTTATGTTTTGAGGAAACAATGTGCTTTAAATGTATATCATAATCCTTTGATTTCAGTCATTGCAGTACTACACTTTATTTCCCATAAGTGTCTTAAGAGTGTGTTTAACAACCTGTTTGCTGAAGAGTCTCTTGTTATGCGATCGTTGTTACATTAAATGTATTTATTATTATTTACAATAATCTATCTCCTGTATATGAGTGGCACACTCACTTGTGATTTAAATGTGATGGTGTCCCTCTTCCTGTCAAAAATAAGTGTTGGGCAGAGACATCACCAGGGGGGCCATTCCCCATGGTTTAGTGGTGCCCCCATTTTTATTCCCTGTCAGTTCTTAGAAATTCATGAGCCTGTGTGCATCCTTACCCCATGTATTCTAAGGAGTCCCATGTGTTGAGGAAATATTTCCAGTTTATGATCTTTGGGAAAGAATTTTTCTCTTACCTTGAAAAATGTATTGCCCTGCCAAATCTTTCGATTGTACGTGAACAAGACTACCTCGCCAGTGTATTACAGTAGTGGTTTAACTTTTGATACGCATAGTGTCTTTTACTGCAGTATTTCCTTGTAATTGAGTACTGCAGGAAATTTAGAAGACTGAAATCTGAAAATATGTACAAAAGTGTTTGTATGAATGTGTATAATTGTGTAATATAACATTGGTATTCTATTTTATATATACATCTATATTTTTGGATTAGTCATTCAGCATTTTAAAATATATAGTGAGCATATTTGAAAGATTATATTCGTTATTGATAATATGATTATAGTATAGTCTCGATTCAAAATAAAAGAAGGCAGAACCTGTTCAATCGATCCACTTACCATGATCTTATATTATGAATATGCTGTACCGATTCACAAGTCTCATGAAAACTCGAAGTACGTTTCCTTTAACTGTGAATGGTTGTTTTGTGAATGGTCGTTTCAGATTTTCAGTTTTCTTCAATAAGAGATGGTAGATACTGCACACAATTTTGTACAGAATTAGTCCTTGTATAAATAATCCCCTGGAAATTGACTTGAAATAAAGAAGGGATTATAATGTGAATTAAGAATTTTTATCTCAAGAGAAAATTCTTGAGTATTTTCTGTGTTGCCATGATAAAATTGCATGATTCTTATGAAAGCTGTTTTTGCAATGTTTAGTCATGTGATGTTGACAAAAAGCAGAAATATGTATAGGCTGTATATACTGTATTATTTTTCATCTGCTACCATATACATAGCAGATCGAACTACTGTATCTATGTATATTTTTGTAAATAATATTAGATGTGCGCAATATATAAATATATATA